ATATTGCATACTTCAAAGTTTATAACAATATTAAAGTGGTTGGGGTTCAATGTAATCAGTATGCTGCTGATACCCAATTATATCTTTTGACCCTGGGACAGCCAAGTGAGGCTGTGAAGGTTCTGACCCAGTGCCTGGAGGCTATGTGGGTTTGGATGGAGAACTATCTCCAACTCAATCCCTTCAAAGAAAAAGTTGCAGTGGATATTTGGGCCCTCAAATCTGGGAATATTCCATCTTTGACCTTGGATGAGGTGGCACTTCCCCTGTCAAGGTTGGTACACAATCTGGGGGTCTTCCTGGGTTTGCAGTTCCTGCATGACAAGCAGGTATCACCTGTGGCCAGGAAGGCCTTTGCCATCTAGTACGCCAGTTGCACCCTTTCCTAGATTGGGGGGCCCTTCAGGCAGTCATTCATGCCCTAGTCATCCTCCCCAGCTTGACTACTGCAACACATTCTACTTGGGGTTGCCCTTGAAGACCATGCAGAAGCTTCAACTGGTCCAGAAGGCAGCGGAGTGAGCAGTAATGGGCATGCCTCAGTATGCCCATATGGTACCTTTGCTTTGCAAGCTGCACTGGTTGGTTTGCTTTCAGGTGCAATTGAAAGTACTGGTTGTTACCTATAAAGCCCTACATGCATGGAGCATAGGGCACGGTTACTTGAGGGATTGCCTGTCTTCCATAACATCTGCCTGACTAATCCGATTCTGCAGGGTTAGCATGCTCCAGGTTCTTTCAATTAAACAATGCTATTTATTAGGTCTCAGGAAGCCTGCCTTCTTTGTAGCAGCATTTGCCCTCTGGAACAAGTTGTTGTTTAGAAGAGCTGTGAAGACCTGGCTCTTCACCCAGGCCTTTGGCGAGGAAGAATGACACCCCTTGCTTTATCACCCTTGCCAACTTTTATCTTTATCTCTTCTGTTTTATTTATTTGATTGCAATTTCTTTGATTGTTGTGAGCCGGCCAGAGTTATTGAGAGTCAGGGGGCATACAAGTTTTTAATAATAATAATGATAATATTACTGGGACACATGTGCTTAAAAATTAATCATAGATATATATTTCAGAAATGGTTGGTTTTATTGAGCCTACTATGGACTTAATGCCTTGCAAACACCTACATTTCCTTTATATGATGGGAAAAATATTTAACTTCCTCTCTGCTAGAAATGGCTCAGATTTATGCCAAATATTATATTCTACCTTCTCCAACAATGGCAACATCTATATTGGAACCCTTTGAAATGTAAAGTATTCCAAAACGCTATTGCTGCTCAGAAGGCATATGAAAAACAGTATAATGCATTGCTTTTAGGCAGGAGGAATGCATAAAAATGTAGGAGATGTTGAAGGTACTAGAAAAACCACATATTTGCATTTACAGGCTTATCAATATCTTTTTGTTTGCATGTAGTATTTTCTGGGGAAAAGCAGGGGTACTGCTTTATCTGTCCTTTTGTGTTTTGGTATTCTCCAGCAAATTCACAACCTGAAATACCAAAAACTCAATCTACTAAATTTCATAATTCCTTAATCAATGTCATTATGGAGGTAGAAACTTCTTGACTTGATTTTTTTCCCAGCTATACATGGCATTCATTTTCCCTCAACTAAAATTGACATTCTGAAATATAATATGGTCAGCAATGCATAGTAGCCTGAAAACCCCTCATAAAAGCAGTTCTAACAATAACAACATTTTTAAAGGAAAAAGTTGGGATGGATTGCAATCTGGGTCTTTATTATAGTGGCTGTAGACATCAATATACATTCCATTTACTTTATGTACTAGGTTCCCTGTCTAATATAACCAACTCTGAGTGGCTTACATACCCTATTCTGTACAATAATGTTTAAAATGTACATAAAAAATAAACAATAAACTCACAATTCTATGTAACAATAAATAAACTCAGTTCAAACCGACCACATTCAACTTGTTAATCTAATCCTTGGTTGCTGGAAGCATTAGGTTTTGATCCCCTTTCTAAAGCTCAGTAAGGCTCAGACCATACAGTTCTCAGGAGGAATGCTGTTTCAAAGAACAGGAGCAGCACCTGAAAAGGCCACCTTCAAGGTCACTTGAATGTCAATGTGACCTGGGTTACATTCCCTGAGTGAAGGGAACCCAAGGAAGCCTTTTTTACCTGATATTTTGGACGGGCAGAAATAATTGGAACAAAACAATTTCAAAGATATCTAGGTCCTAAGTTATTCAGGGTTTTAAAAGGGACAATAAGCACCTTGAATTCACTTGAAAGCAAACTGGTAACCAGTGCAACTCTAGCAGCGGAAGACTTTATAGGCAAATCACAATGCACACATAACAGCCCAAGCTGCTGCACTGGTATAGTTTCCAAGTGGTTTTCAAAAACAGCCCCAGACAGAATGAATTGTAATAATCCAAATGAGACTAGTTCAAATAAGACTGCATCTAAAGTACAATCCAATATACCTGTGTATAAGGGTTGAAAGTAGATTCCTTACTTCTGTGTAACCATACAAAACCAAACCTGTATACTGTATACATTTGTATACATTTTCTTGGGAGTAAGCGACATGGTAACCTTACTGAAATTTAATTTCACAGTTAACCACATAGGGTCAAAATAGGATGTTCACCTGTTAAATAGACTGCATATTATAGGAGAATGAGAATCAAACTATGTATATATTGATTTCAGATAAAAGGGCATGAATTACCCACTTTCCCTCTTTTTGTACATAATTTTGTCTGAAGTCAAGACTTATACATTAGTTATCGATTATCTCAAGTACCAAGTACAACCTCTTTCTGTTTGTTTTGTAACAGTGAGTAAAGAGATTGACAGGCATTAATAGAGTTACTCCAAACACTGTCTCCTACACTGTTTAAACAAGGACTTCACTTCATTAGCTTTTGTGAAAGAAAATACAGTCAAGCTAAGGACTGAAAATGTCTCAAGCCTTCAGAATTTAGGACATTAATGAAGACAGTAGTCATTTCAAGCCTCATATTATCACAAAATATAAATTATAGGTATTTCCTTTAATGAAAAAGCATGATTATAGAGTTGTATTTGTAGTTCTGGGTGAAAAGAAAAACCAAAAGTAGGATTAATTGTAGCCACATTTTTAGGAAAGCCAACACAACAAATCAATAGTTAGCTGACAATACAAAGTAAAAGTGAATTTTAGTCTGAATATCAAGAACTCTGAATGCATACCATATATTTTGTTTTCAGAAAAATACAATGCTTGAGTAGTCTATAAAAAGTCATAACATCAGCTAAAATCGATTCAGCATTTTCAATTATTATAAGTTAAAATACCAAGTGCATTTATAGCTGAACACCCAATCCTGTCAAGGATTACTTCTATTCTGTTTAAGAAGCATTTATAAGTTTTCAAAAACAATATAAATTGGCCTATCCACAGTTGCAAATATAATTCCATTCTTGTAACACGTTCATCAGGGAAGAAGTCCTGAGACTCTGCACAAGGCATATCAAAATTTTCAGTACACAAGCACCATGACTCTGATACTAGAAGAGATGTTGCAGCTACCCTTTCTTATTTCAGCCAGGAAATTTAAAACAAAGCCTTCATTAATCATTCAGCATGGTTTGTGCCATAAATGTATAATGCCTTTTATTAGTTAAGAGATACTGGAGTTTATTAGTTTAATAAAGACAAGCAGCACTAAAGTCTGAAAAGTGAATGAAGAACTATGTATGTTAATGGATATTATATACTAGAAGAGTATTTTAAGGAGAGAAATATCTTAGATTCCAATATCACTTGATTGCAATTAATAATTAGAAATGAGGCATTCTATTGTAAAATTACTATAGGCTTTTCCCTATATATTTAAAGAAATGTTTAAACTTCCTCCCTTATTTAATTTTAATAAATCTCTCTTCTTATAACCTGGGGAGACCAGGAGAGATAAAAGGATTCAGTTGAGGCCTACTTTTAAAAACTCAAGTGTGAGGCCTGATTAGACTTCTCTCAGTTTCATTACAAGGGCTTCACTTTTGAAAAGGATGAAATGGTACAAATCTAAGGCTCAGAACAAGGTAACATGCTTTTGACTCTAATGAGCTAGGTTTTCAGAAAAATAAAAAGTTAAAAACCTATTACAGTTCAAATCTCCAGTTCCAAAAATAAATGAGCAAACAGTTTAGCTAATTTCCCCCTTTTGTTGTGTACCTAGAGAATTTGTTAAATATATTCTACCTTTTTAATCAGGAAAATGGTTTATATTCTAATCAAACTTTTAATCCCAATATCTCTGGAATCCAGCATCTTTTTTCCTTGTAGATTTTAAAAAGAAACCTACGTTTAAAAATCCTCTAACTTGACCCAATTCTTTTAATAGCCGATGAGAGACACTGCAAGGGCTTTTGTTAAGATATTCTTTTAAAAATATCAGAGCCTTTTTAAAAATACTTTGCTTAGGAGCCTCATAAAAAGAGAACTTCAATTTCAGTTCTATAGGCAAATCACAGTCTGGTGGGAAACATTTCAACACATACGCATTAAGTAAAATCTGGGTTGGCCAACTGATCCGTGTTTGGTTCCAGCCACAAGAGACAGCGCGTTCCCCCGAGTTTTTGCCTTTCCTCACGACTCTTTCTCACTCCACAGCCTACAGAGTCACTTTCCCTCTCTGTCTCCAATACACACCCTTGCCAGACAACGCATGCCAGAAATACGCAAACTTGCACGCTACCACCCTCCCCTCCTCCCAAGATAACGCTGGTGCGGAGTGGGAACACTTCCCCTTTCCTCCTCGCAGGTTGTTGTTGTTGTTATCACTATCTTTATTATGTAACTGTGTGAGACACTCTCCCCTACACCAGGGAGGGACTAGGGAGGTGGGGAAAAAAACAAACTCAACTCCTCCTAAAGTTAGGAGAACAAATGCGCCTGATGCCAGTTTTCCCCCCTCCCCCCCCGGGTTCAGCCCCCTCCTCTTCCCGCACTGGGATCTGGAGGGGGGATCTACACCCACCTGTCTCTAGGGTCGATCCAGCTGGTCTGCTTGGTGTTGTGGTCGATGTAGAAGACTTTCCCATCGTAATCCCTCGCCTCCTCCCAGCCGTCGGGTAAGGGCAGTTGCCCATTCCCCATTTTTCTAGGCATGGTCGAAGACAGGGGATAGCTGCTCCATAGGGACAGTAAACAAGAAAGAAAGGAGGGAAGCGGGAAAAGACGCCCCCTCCTTCCCCTGGAGCTCTGGGCGGGTGGAGGGAGGCAGTCGTGCAACGGGCCAGGAAACTCTCCTGAGTTTCAGTCCACCATGTCTGGACGGGAGCCTCCGCCTTCGGCCCTTATTCCGTATTGGCAGCAGGGGGTCAGGGGGTCCAGGTTAAGACGAGGCGCTGCCTGTGTTCCAGGGGGAGGGGGGAGAACCGGCTCAGTCCCGAGCGGCGGCCGCGGGGGGGGCGGAGAGCGCGGCCCCGCCCGCGACCGAAAACACAAATCGCCCCCCTACCACCAAACACACCCG